TTTTCTCAGAGGGGGTTTCAACCAGTCGGTCTGATTTTTTGCATGTGAGTAGTGCCAATGGAGAACTAGTCACACGCAGAAAATCAGAGCGCCAGGTTACAATTCCTCCGAGACAAATTGGTGGGTAGAAACCAGTGGGTAGCGCGTTCTTCGGGGGAAAGCTGTATATCATTATTGCTTTCCACTGCTGACATAGCGTTATCATTCGGTTCGTTGATCGCTTGTCATTTTGTCATTCGGAGATATTTTTGATTCCTTGGTCACAACACATTGGAACGCCATTGAATTCACTTCATTATACGATTGAAGGGAGAAAAAAAAATGATTCGCTAGGAGTGGTCTTACAGACTTTGTTTTGTACCTTTTGAACTAAACTATCATAACTTCAAATATATCAATAATTTTGAAGCGAACGACTCAATCATACGTGGTGGAGTCGTTCGCTTCAAAATTATTGATATATTTGAAGGTTTTGGCCAATACGACGGAAATGTAGTACTCTGCGTTCTTTGAAATCTAGAGCTTATGTTAAAATTAAAACTTGCCGTGATTTCTAAGATTTTGGAACTAACATAAATATTCAATATAGCGTATTTCGAAAATTTACAAAATATGTACAGTGGTTTAAAACAAAATCAAGATTTTGGCCTAGCAATATTTCCAATACTCTTGGTAAAATTTTCGGCATTCGTCACTTTGACTGTTTTCAAGTTCTCAGTCATAGTAAAAGTTTCATTAACCAGGACATGGGAAAATAATTTGATGACTGAATCAGGACTAAGAATCATCTTAATTATTTCGAAACTAGTATTTTATGTTCTAGAATTCATATTTAAATTTTCTACTCGCCAGAAAGGGTTGCAAATCTGAAATTTTACTGGGTTTGTGAGTAATTGTGGTAATAGTGAATTGGAGTGCACTCATTTGATAATTTTTTATTCGAGAAAAGGACACAATTTTCTCGAACTCTTTGTATTTTTTAAATGACCACGCAATCAGCTGAGTATGGTGCTGATAAGAAGCACTTCCTAATGAATGTGGGCGTCTTGGTGGAATACCTGTATAATGAGAGAGAAGGATTAGTAAGTTCCATTTAATTCCACTACCTTATTTGCTTATCCTTGACACATACGCGTATTTCGTCTACAATGTGCAGACTTCTTCAGTGTCTTGTACCAATACTCGACAGTCGAGTATTAGTACAGAACACTGAAGAAGTCTGCACATTGTAGACGAAATACGCGTATCTGTCAAGGATAAGCAAATAAGGTAGTGGAATTAAATGGAAATTACTAATCCTTCTCTCTCATTATACAGGTATTCCACTATTCAAATCGACGTATCTGGTTTTGTAAACAATCACTTCAATCGACGATTTGTGCCAACTGCTAGTTCGCTCACAGAAACTAACAACAATTGAGAGATTTTCCTACATGATGATGGATTTTTGTTTGCGGGGGTGAGTTAGCAGTTAAGACAATTCGTCGATTGAAGTGATTATTTACAAAGTCAGATACGCGGATTAAATAGTTACGCTTGATATATATGTATTATCCTACCGATTCAGGAAATGCAGCGAAGTTTGCGTGTTTATTGGAGATCAAAACTTCCCCCCTTGTGGTGCGAATTAGAACTATCGAATGATGGTTTCGAAACATTGCACGTTGATGTAAAGGCAAAAACAAAAAATTAAAAAAGCTTTTATTTTCCGAGAAAAAATTGTTTCTTAAATTGAGGAAAAACTCTCAATTTAATATTTTTTTATCGATTTTGGTAACTATTTTGTCAAATTGGTTTTAAATTACTGCCGTTCTACGCATATCTGTCCTATGTTACTTTTGGACGTTTTTCCCTTTGGTTCATAAAACAGTACTCTTTTAGGTAAACTTTTGAATGAAAATAGTAAAACATGTTATTTGTTTTGGGCTTATTTAAAAACAACATCAAGTCTAATTGTCCCGTGTTGAAATTCTACGCATAACTGTCCCACAAAGATTTTTTTTACTGAATCTTTTATTAACGAATCGATTTGAGTGCACAAATGATTGAAACAGGACTTATATGATCAAAAGAAACTCAATGAGTCATTTCGGGAAGTAGTAGCTTTATTTTATGATGAAAAATATTAAGCCAGACGGGAATTCATATTAAAACACCTGATTATAGGTTAGATTTCAAACTGTGCATTATTAGAGTAATAATATTCGATTGATAAGAAGCAGTGTAATGATCTTAAAATAAACCAAAGGCAAAATAACGTGATTTAAAATTCAATTGTATGTAGCAACGAAGTATAGACATCTTCCAATATTGGCATGATTAAAAAAGTACGTATTATTGTCTAAAACAACTCGAAGCACCGCAGTTAACAATGATGGCACTTTCTTGATATTGTGTTCATTCCTCTAGTTGATAGCTGCTACCATATTTTTTAGTTAAAATAAGGTTCCTGTTGACTGATTCAGAATATCTGTTGTCGTAAAGTCCTTCCGTAAATTTAGTCGTTAGAATGTTCTCAATATACTACCGTGGATGCATTTGGTTGAATATAATGAAATCCTTACTGTGTATGTTAACTTTTCCAAAGTCTTTCTTGAAATCATCGAAGTACACGCTCGACAATCTTATTGTGTTCTACACAGAGCATTCATCATTTGTTTCTCAAGATGCCCATACTTATAGGCTTTATAGATGTAGCAAACGACGATTGCAGTAATGTCAACTCACTTATTGTTGGTTTCTGTTAATGATGCAAACCTATGCAAACTATACACTTTCAAAACTTCGCGGAGAACTCAAGCACGCTCATGTTAACATAACCACAACCACAAGAGTAAAGACGGCAAACGCAACGTGGCCATCAAAGTAACACGGAAAGTAATAGTTCTTAGTGGGACTGATATGCGTAGAATTTCCTAGTTCATAGCAAATTTCTCGGCATAAAAGTCCCACTGATTTTTTTTCGTATAAAAATAGGCTTGATTAATTTCATTGAATGTAATTTCTGTGTTTTCACTTAAAACAATTGATTCTGTTGAAATATGAACAATGCACTAACTTATTTTAACTTATATTTCTTTCAATGAGCAGAAATGATTCGAAACATTATTCGCAATGTTACTTTTAGAACATGGGACAGATATGCGTGGAACGGCAGATTAGGTCCTGATAATTCTTCCAAAATTTGAACTGGCCATTTGAAGTATAAATGGGAATTACTATGCGAAATGTGAACATTTTGTTCTCAATGTCCTAGCCCTTCGCCATAACGATTTACGGAACTGTCCAGGAAAAAAGTATTGAATTTTTGAATTGACCTTCTCCAATTTGTATGAAACATTGCCTAATTGTATAGTATGGGCAATGATTAACAATTTTGCTTAAATTTGGCCATTCTGGATCTTGTAAAATGTTTGAAATGGCGTCCTTCAACACTTTCAAAAAATTGTAACGCAGACACGGCATTTCTGTTCAAAATGACGTCTGAGGCAAAGGGGTAGGAACAACTAGTGTCTCTCTAGGGAAAATAAACAAAAATGTGTGTTTTTTTTTTAATTTAATTCATGTTAATTTAAAAAAAGGTTTAAACTAAAATATTTCAAATTGTTCTTGTCCGATTTTTGAAAAAAAGAATCAATAAAAATCTTATTAACAATGTTCAAAACCATGGACACTTTAAAACTGACAAAAATCGTGGAACAAAAACTTTTTGTAAATTTTTTAAACTTTTGAGAATACGATGTTTTGTTTATTTTTTCACAGAAAATGATGTTAACTGTTCAATACAGCGTTTTTGCATATAAATTTCCTAAAAAAAACTTTTTAAAAATAGTTCTAAAACCCGATCAAAAGTTCTTATTTTACGATTTTTGTAATTTTTTAAGTGTCTATAATTTTCAATATTTCAAAAGTTTGCATTTTCATAAGCATTTTTTTTTTAATATTTTAAAATTTGGGCATTGGTATGTTTTCAGATACATATTTAGGGTTTTAAATTTATTTTTGAATTGTACATGAAATTACTAAAATGTATTTTGTTTTATATATTTTCCCAGAAGAAAAAAAAAACATTATTTTTCTTTACAACTTTGTCTCAACCAGTAATTACCATTAGCAATGTTTCGACCAAAAGTGTCGATTTGCTGCAAGTTTTTGGAAAATTTCAAAGATGCCATTTTGAAATATCTTCAAGATCTTAAATGGGCGAATTTCAGCAAAAATGTTAATCATTGCTCATCGGAGATGGTCGAGTTATTCCGATTCGTCATTTGGCTTGGAACAGCTTCATTCAAAGTTGTTTTGCCTTTTCAATTGTCCTCAGATTTCCTTTGAAACTTTGTTCAGTGTTTTTCTTTGAAACATGTCTGGGCTTTGTCATACAAATCCAGTGGAATTCTCCTCATAATTACCGTAGACTTGTACTCATAATACCCTTGAGTCCATTGAATTCTTTTCAGAATGTCCTCTGAAGTCTTTAAGAATACTTTTCAGACACCCTAGGAGTTCTCTGTAAAATACCCTTGGAATTACGCTTGCACGGTCAATCAAAGTAACTCACTGATTTTGAGTCAAACTGACTGAATCTCTTTTGATCGTATACAAATTTTACTCACTTTCGTAAAATTTGACGGCGAAAAAGGAGATTCAGTCAATTTGACCCAATCAGTGATTGTCCGTGCCTTGATTAAATGTCAATGAAATTAATGTCGTGGAAAAGTAACCAGGCACGTCGCGCTTGGTGGGGTCTTTTGCGCCACTCCCTCCGGGAAAAGAAATGCTTGATTCGATGTCATTTTTAGATCCTTAAAATTTATATTGTTCTTTGATATTTATGTAAGAAAAAATCTTCCCGCCATCCCAACAATAGATTTTTCGCTAAACAATCACATAATCTACGGCCATTTCATCTCGTGCAAAATTAGAACGCCAGTAGGTTTTTTCACTGCGCTAACTTCAACCACCGCCCTTCTCAAGCAATGTTATTTTTTCATTGAGCAAAGCAGGCCGCCAGACACTGAGTGGAGAACGAAGGGAAAAAAATTGTCCGGAAAAACTGAAAAATAAAAATAAGAATCCCAAACAAGGTGGGGGCGGAGAATCGACGAGCAAGAGGAGCGCAACCCTGTTTATGAGAAACATCCGGAGTTCGACACGCATTCTCACACATTGTGTGTTGTTATAATCGAACCAATATAAAGCCGTGTGCCGTGGCTACCGAGTTGAAGTGAACATGTGAAGTTCGCCGGAAGCGGTTTGGGGGTTAAACGACGTACGAAGAATAATAAAAATAAAGAAGGAAGGTGAAAGTGATTGAGCTGTATAAGCCGAAGCCGACCGGTCGCTGTAGCCTACCGTGAAAACGCGTGAGCAGGGTGTGAAAATAGCCGTACCAGCTTACTGCGATTGTGAACGGGGGGTGCCCGAGCAGCAGGCGACGGCACAGTAGCATAACATCCGGTAATTGCTTGTGTTGGGGATAAGGCTTCTATTTTTATTCGGTTGATAGTGCCGGGGACAGTTTAGGGTGTGTCCTTGCACGATGTAATGAAACCCGGAAGTGGGTGAGTGGGGAAAAAAGAGCAGGCGCAATTTCTGGTCAGTGTGATTTAATGCGTTTTTGTGACACGGTTGAGTATGTGAAGCGTGTGAATGTGCTTACTGCAGGTGACATAAAGCAGCGTGGCGGCGTGGCAAAGTAATGGGAATTAATTCCGAAGTTGATAAATCAAATTTAGAAGCTTGGGTCGTTTACGTGGGTTGGGGTGTGGGATGCTGTTTTTGCCGACACGTTAAAGTGTTTATGTAATGTTACGATGCTTCGCCCTTGAGTAGGGTCCAAGGGCTAGAAGAGAGGAAAAAAAAATGAAGAAATGAAAGTACGAGGGAAAATGCTCACGTGATGCGAATTTTGTTTTTGCTGTCGGTAAGTCAGAAGCGTGTTTTTTTTCTTTATGAGAATAAACGAAGCGAAGAGAAAACAGATGTTGATCCTGATGATGCTAGTGTGCTGATGACGATATCCTGCTGCCGTTGATGATGTGAAGCAAAAAACGACAAACGAGAGTATGTGGTGATTCCGGCCACCAGCTGGTTCGATTTGTGTGCCACCTAAACTTGCAGCAAATCTCCACCGATGCGAGCTCAGAGGAATGTTTAATCAAGTGGAAAATGGAAAAAGGTATTTATTTATCATAATGATCGCTGTTCTCCATTAGTTTCATATAGCTTATAGAAGACGAATGATTAGTACGGGTAGGGTTGATGATAATATTGAATTTTAATTATAAATCTATACATTTCCCTACACACCGTCCCACAGTGCACGGCTTTGACATTTCCGTAATAGTAATTAGTCAGTTCGGCTCGAGCCATGCCTACTTGATTAATTCTCCCATTACATGATAATACGCCCGCAAATAGGAATTGCGTTTACACTAGCATTCACATCTGGACGTCTGCTAGCCTACTGCTACTACTACTGCCTACCCTCTACTTTGTAATGATAATGACTGATAAAATATTATCTATCTGGAGATTACTCCCTCGTATTTTGCGTGCTTCTGTATAGTGAAACTTTTTTGTTGCAAAATTGGTATAGGGGAGGGTTGGGATGCGTTGACCATTTAATGTATTATGCCCTAGCTATTCATTATTCCAATACGAAAATATCTGAAATGGTTTTTGACTGATGCAGCTTTGTTGACATAAACAAAATGGCTATTTATTGTTTTAGTGGGTCGTAAACTGTTAATTAGTCGCGTGGAAAATTATGTTTTTTTCGGACTGTTTGTGCCATAAATGCTGTCTGTTCTTAGCACAAATAATTAATGTCGACCCTTCCCACTGGTAATGATTGCTATACGGATGAATAAATTCATTTTTTATTTTTTATAGATTTCAAAAGAAAAAATCTTACCCAGTGGGGAGACTTGATCCACTCGAGCTGGGGAGACTAGAATTATAGTTATATCCCGGGGACTTTTGGAACAAGCTGAAGTTAGGCCATCGTGGTCCTTGACACTCATTATGGTGACTTTATTTTTCAATGTTGTGGGATTTGATGTCAAATGATGGGTTTTGGTTGAAAAGCAGGGTCAAATCTTAATATATATTTAAGCGAAAAATACTCTTAAGATACTAATGCTGTGAAAAAATCTTATTTACTGAAAAAATTAGATATCAAACCATTTAAAAAAAAATTAGGGATCCTCACCATAGGAAGAATGTTTGGTCCGCTTTTCTTAACTTCAGGAAAACGGTTTGAACTTCACTAAACATAATTTTCTCCAACTGCTATGGTGATTGAACTGTGTCTTAGTGACTGGCTAAAAAATTGAATTTACACATTACTGAGATATTAAACAAACAAAAAATCAAAAAGCGGGATCAAGTATCCCCATCTTCCCCTATGTACCAACATAAATATGGAAATGAATCGAATAAAAATAGCAAAGTCCATCACATACACTTTTATCCCTTCCCGGCCGACTGCTACAAGCACAATCATTGCTGTCTGTCCGCCTGTCATTCTCTCTGGCACTCGGGAGCTTTGCTTTCCGCTCACGGATGTCCGTCCATTATTATGATGCATTCACTTTTGTAGAATGGCGTAGAAGAAGTGCAGCAGCAGGTGGATAGGTGTTATTATCTATCTGTTGTTGTCTCTGTGACATGGTGTGGGAGTATTCCCAGCTGTGTTGGAGCTCAGCTTGGATTGTTTGTTTACAACTCACCGTCGTCAGAGTCTCTAAAAGGCTAGAACCGTGCTTGTACGGTAGTGGCTTTTTGTGCTACCATTTGGCTAGCGTTCCGAAGCTACCGGTGTGGCACAGTTGACATTTCCTCCTGCCCGGTTTCACCCGCATAGTTTAGCTGCAACGTTGAATATAACAAAGATTTGTGTGTTTTGTTCATTGTTTTTCCATTGCCTTCTAATTAACGTATGTTTAGTTTTTATGTAGAACTGGAATGCAGGTTTTTGTTCATGCTGCTGAACTTTTGTTTAGACCTTCATCAAAATCAACGGACAATCCTTTATCGGTCAGTTTCGCTGCTCCAGATTCGATAAAGATCCTGATTTCCCATCACCGACTCATAAAGTTTCCCGTTTACCGCCGGGACGGGACTTGACAATCGAGCTTCTTATTCTTCTTAATGTTTTTGATGAATGCCCGTCGAAAATTTATGCGTGGTCTTTGACGGACCAATGATGCCAGGATTGCATAAGGATGTTTGATTTGATTCGGAGTTTCTACCGCAGTATAGCACTTTGTACATCATTTTTGCTCAATACAATAAAAACAACCATACACAAACAACAACATCCATCGCTTAAAACACGCAGTGCACTCAATTTTTCCAACTTTCGTTGCGTAAATATAAACAATTAACATCGCCGTTGACGTCAACATTGATTCCGGCATCACTACCAGTCAGATTGCTGTGATCCTTTTTATTCCAAGGTTGCTACTGTCAAATCAGTACTGTACTGATTACTGGCTCGGATTTAACAGAAAATTGGCTTGAAATCGCTACCCAATTGTCAAGTCACGTTCCAGGTTTCCAGGTTTACCGCTCTGTGTTCGGAAATCTGTAAAATTCGCGAACAAGAATCAGTCAAAAAAAACAAAATAAGTAAGTTTGTCTGCTTCGACCTTCTATTAGCCGTTTATTCTATTTCTTTAAAAAAAATTGTGTCTCCAAAAATAAGTAAGTATTTAAATTATTTATATTTTTCCTATTCCTAAAGACAAGCATGTCAAAAGAATCATGAATATAATAAACAGATCTTGATAGAGCTGGAATTAGGGCGTAACAGCTTTTGTAAACAATGACTTCTCTGGATGATTTCTCAAAACTCAAAGCACACTTACGCCAACCAACATAACCAACGGGAAGGGGAAGTCTTCCCCTACCCGATGCTGACGTTGATTTGAGTGGGCGAGCCTTGGCTTTCTAGAAATCATAGAGAAAAGTCATTGTTTACAAAAGCTGTGACGCCCTAATTCCAGCTCTATCTAGAGATTAACAAATATTTCAAAGATGGAGTTTGCTTTGCCTTAACACTTCCAAGTCTCAGAATCTTAATCAAGTTTCTCATTCCAATGTCTCACATAGTTCTCTTAGAATCTTAAATACTTCTTCATGACTAAGATTATAAATTTTATCGGATAAAAGCCTCAGTGTCCAAATTTGTACAAATTTGTTGAAGTCTTTCCAAAGTGTTAGAATCCTTAAAATTTCAAAGTCTCAGATAATTTAATTTTTACAGTCCACCCACACACTCACTCATGTGTCCTGTGAATCTTCAGTGGTGCCAAGGGCCAACGTCAAAGAACTACATCCTAGGTTGGTGAAAGCTTTTGCTTTAACCTGACTCAGGTAAATATTCATGTTCCATTACATCATTATTTTGTCTTTTCCTGTGTAAGGTCTCCTATCCCTGTGATAGGCATTCTGGGAAAGCACTGTATGTGAATCCCGTTTAAATGGAAGCAACTTATCAGATTGTGGAGGAAAGTACTTTCAAGCCATAAGAATCAGTTCAAATTAGAAGAATCTTATGCATTGACATTTAACTAAGAAGATTTATTTTTATAATGTCAATATAAAGAAAGAGAGAAGGATTAGTAATTGCCATTTAATTCCACTACCTTAATTGCTTTTCCTCCAAACTCACTTTTGTAGAACATATAACAATCATAACGAAAGCAAATGGTATGTTGGGTTTCATTAAGAGGGGAAATGTTGGCTTCGGCAATACCTTAACCTATTATCGTCAGGGAGGTAAACAACGTTCTTGAGAGGTCAATTTTGGCATGTGGATACATTGTGTTTCAGAGCATCTATTCGCCAAAATTGAGTGTTCTAGGACTTTGTTTATCCCCTGACGATAATAGGTTAAGGTATTGCCGAAGCCGGCCTTTCCCCTATTATAGTATGATCAGGACCTGATTTGGAATCGATGAGTGTGGGCTTCTATAATAGACGCCCACATTCATCGATTCCACATCAGCTCCTGATGATTATCCCAAAGTTTCACTTAAGTACAGATTGCAAACTTTTCCATAGATCATTACGGCGATGGGCTACAACGATGAGAACAAAAAGCTCACTTTTCCGATAGTAATTGCCTAGGGGCATCCCACTCTAAACTTTGTACTTATAAAGTTCTAACTGATATCTTAGATACCTATAAATACTTAAAAATACTTAAGAAATACTTATTACTATATTGTTTCCCTGGTTGCTAGACAAATTTCTGTTGTTTGTTTACTCAATGTTGCCAGGGATTTCATGTGTTAGGTTGGATTTTGTGCATTGCGAGCATTAAAGTATTTAGTGAATAAATCATACAAAAGAAGAGATTTACAACTTCAGAGGAAAGGTCAATTATGGTCTTTCGATTATGAGAATGTGTCTTTTCTTCTGACATAAGAGACAATTTGAAAAAAATCTGCTTTCCAGCT